ATTCCACAGGGAACTTGGAAAGACATTGTTTTATTGAATTTTAATGAGGGATTATCATATTCTAGTGTTTAAAAGCCTATGTGATTACTTATAATCTCTACCTACTTCAGTTTTTCCATTTATATTTTCCATTTATATATATATATATTTACTTCTGAAAAGTATGCTATAATCTTTGTATCAAAACAACAGAAGAAAGATACAAAATTTGGGTCATGAATTTTATGTGTTTCAGATACTAGTCATGAGTTTATTGCAAGTTTTCCATTATGGAAGTTATCTTTGGATTTTGGAATTTTTAAAGCATGCAAAAATTGAAAAACAATATTATATCCATCTATATAGCTACCGTGAAGTCTCAAAAGCGAATATTTCAATAAATAACTTATTCCTACCACCAATATTTTTAGAATTTGGGTGGGACAGTATTATTATAAATCTTAGACATCATAGAGGTTTTCTTGGAAATTCATCCTAAAATATCATTACCAGTAGAAACCATAATTCCAATATTGCTACCAACAACATAAAAAAATCTAAGAAGTTTTAAATTCAACTCACACTCAGATATCCATAACTGTCTGAATATTTATTTTACAATAGTTAGAAAAGAAAAAAGTAACATTCTTGGTCATTACTGTAACTTGTGGCACTCCAACACACTGCACGAATTCATAGTCAAATCAAGAATACATTTTGTGATGTATTCAAGGATAGTACTTCCGGTAAATCAGAAGATTAATACAATGAATTTCTTTACCATATATTCTTAAAAAGCACTTAGCTGAAGAGAAATTCCCTTTTTCTACTATTTTTATATTTGATCATATGAGCTACAATTACAAATAAACAGAAATATCATTTTATACAATAATTTTGGAAAATAAATCAAAGAAATACTAAAACTTACTATAATTTTTGGTAAGAGATCCCTTTCCTTATCCTACACTTTCAAAGAAATGCTAGAATTATATTTATTGTGTCGGACACAAAGATACTGAACGGAAAACATAAAAAAATCCAATTGAGATTTTATTGTTGTTATTATTATTTTGGATGCTACTGAGGCAAGAAAAATAAAGAAAGATTGTGTCTTTGAGGGAAGATATCATGAAAAATAGTAGGAATCCACAACCCCAGGTATAAGAAATATTTGCTCTTCCCAGACGGGAGAGCAGTGAGGGAGGGAAGGGCTGAACATGGAAGGGAGAGGTGCCGACGTGCTTGTGGGACAGAGTTCAGAGAAATCAGGTAAAGTCAGAGACCTTTCACAGCAGATTTCAAGGAAGCAGGGAGAGACAGCTGTGCATAAAATCTTTGTCCTCCCATTAGAGAAGGTATCAACACATTTCTGAAGAGGCTAGTAAGACAGCAGGAAAGGTAGTCTCATTTGAAACCCATGTGGACCATGTGAAAAAAAAAAAAAAAGAAAGAAAATAGGTACATAGTTACATAAAAGACCCAGAGGTCAAGTGTCCCTGTTCCCTTTGATATAACAAATTGATCTGATTTTTCTTGTTTTAATGAAGGAGAAAAGGCAATTTATACACATGTGAACCAGTGGGAAAACAGTCACAGCTAATGGGCTAGTAAAATGGGGTGATGGGAACAGCAACCACCTGCGACTGTCACCACAAACGGGCAATGGTTTGTGACTGGCTGTTCAACTTTCTATCCTGATCCATACTGATTTTTCAGAAAGTAGAAAGGATAAACCAAGTGCTCTGGCCTCTGCGCTCACTTAGGAGACCCAGAAGAGGCTCCTGGCTCCTGATTTCTGCTTGGCTCTCGACTCTGCCTGTTTACAGTCACGTGAGGAATGAACAAGTGGATGCAGGATATCGCTCTGTGTCTCTCTCATTGTCTCAGTAATTCCGATTTTCAATCAAATAAGTATTTTTTCATTAAAAAAACCCCTCATAGCCAGTACAGTAAAAACTATTCTAATTTACCTAAGTCTAATTTACAAACACCGATGCTTGCTTAATTTATAAGCTCTGTTTTTGATATTATATGTAATTTGCATTTACATCTTTTTCAAAAGTTAAGAGGTGTAATAAAATGTATAATGCCAACAACCTATACACATAAATTGGAAATGCAGAATATTATAGTTCAGCATGTATGTTTGGGAATAGCAGTGGCTGGGTGTGCGTGTCGGGTGAAGAGCTTAGGAACATGACTACTTCAAGGTCTAAAGTTTCCAAATATTTCACCACATGTATCACTTTCTACTACTTATTTGAAAAGCTGGAAAACCAAAAACAATTCTACATAAATGAGTAGTTCTTATTGATTTTGTTTAGCATGAGTTAGTATATGAAAAAGTAGGAATGCTTTTGTATTTGTCATTATTATTTAATAACTGTGAAGTTTCCATTTCACTTGCTGTGAAATCATGAGTCCCTATCAGACCAAACACTGAAAACCCCAACGAAAGCAAATACTTGAGACACACATCGTTTGATAAATTCTATTGGTAATTATTTCATCAATTTCACTGGCTTTCTTTTAACAAACCTCAAGGCAAAATAATTACAAATGAGTCTGAAATATCTGAAGTTCATATATTACAACACGTCCCCCAAATTAATTATTGTTTAATTTGAATCTTAATATTCTAAGACCATTGTACTTAAATTTGTTTTAGTCCTGCAAAAAGAAGTACAAAGGAGTAAGCATGTTCAGATTCTCTTAAGTATTGAACAACAAACAACAGCAACAATTACTGCTAACCTCCAGAGTCTCTTGGGACACTCCTTCCCTTTTTTTGTTTGCTTTTTTCCCCCAGTGATAGCAAAGAACCAGATGGATAACAAAGACCACTGACCCATCCATTGAAAACATTTCATTGTCCATTTTTCTCTTGTGCAAAATCACTGTGCTGTGTTGAGTGTTAGAGTGTAGAATGTTGTGCCATGTTCTTCTATCTTGCTCTCTTTTGAAAAATCCATGAAACTGGTTTGGTAAAATTTCTGGGGCCTTCTTGAAGAAAATGAAAAAGATTCTATACTCATTTGCTTGCTTACTTATTTGTGTTTTTACCATCTCTTTCTTCTCCCTTGTAGTAGCTTGCCCAGCTCTACTGCCCTACTCTTTGTAGTTAACTGAGCAAGGACATATGTGTATTGGATAAGTTCTAGTAAATGGTGGGTTAAGTCCATTTCACTTTTTATGCAGCATGTTAAGCTTGGTAGAATGCTCACCTTTAGCCCTCTTCTCTTTATCCTTTCATGTTATTAGAAAAATCCAACATAGGCGTTCTTAAGTGTAGTTTCATGAAAAGGCAGAGCTTATTAGTGAAAATCAGCTCATGTCTAAAAAATACTCTCCAGTTGGTATATATGAATCCAGCAACGAACCATCATCAACACGCTAATTTAGCTAATGGTAGCTCATTCTAATTTATTTTTCTGCTTCCTTAAAAATTGTTTCATTTAGAGATTTCAAAAGATAGGAGTCGTTGGCTAGATTCTCTCTCTGGAATTGTGAGGTCAAATATGTATTTAGAATTGCCCAGTAAGACCAAGGTATAGCAAATCGAATACTAGCAACCAGAACCACTGTGAGGTTTACTGAGATTCTGCTGAAAGATTGCTTTGGAAAGAAAAATTCCTCAACAGAAAGGCACCTAGAGAAAGTACAACTTTGTTGTTAGGCAGAAACTGGAGATGAAACCAAACCTAAATAAAAACCAAACAAATAAAAAACCAAAAAGCAAAACAAAAACAAAAACAAAACTCTTCCCTTCCCGGATAACAAGACACTAAAAAAAATCCACAATGACGGACACCGCAGCAGGGTCCCACAGTGAGGCAAGGTAAGACAGACTTTTCGTTGTGTTTAACACTACTTGATATCCCTACTGAAATCATAGAAATGACAGAGGTACTTTGTTTAATGTTTGAAGCCATAGGAACTACTTAGCTAAAAAAAAAAAATCAGTGACATGTCACCATACCTGCATTTCCTACTTTAGGCAGCAAATTTGGAGTTTGTCCAGGATAAGTCAAAAGTTAAATAGCTTCAATTTGTTTAGTTTGGGTATCTTTTTTTTCCAATATTACTTTTTAGAACAATTCCAATTCAGAGCATAATTAAAGCATACACACTCACCTGATGACCCCTGCACTATGCATTCTGCTCTATGTCCTTTGCCCCAAAACACACACCATCTCCTCTACCATCAGCATCCCACAACGGAAAAACAAAATTAAAATAAATAAAGTGTAAATTATGGTCATTACCCTAAACTAAAAGTAATAAATATGAATTAATAAACAACAGTAGCATTTTTAGTATGAACTAAGTGGCGATTCTTTTTTTTTCTTCTCATAAAAATACAATCACTTTTAGCATTTACTAAGAGTGTTTTTCAAAGATTGAGGAAGGAGTTTTGTACAAAGCTTATTTTGGGTGCAGTTAGGCTTATATGCAATGTGACTCTGCTGAGAATAAAGGTTTTGACTGAAAACGTTCCACTGAAAATCCCAGGCAAAAGAACAAATAATCCCAAATCCAAACAGAAAGATCATGAACCAAAAGCTCCAATCTCTTCCTCCTACTTTTTACAACACGACTTAATAATCTCTTTTTGTTTTGTTTTGTAGTTTTTGTAGAAAAACGGCAACTTATGAAAATCCATTTACTTATTACACAGATTTACACACATGTCATTATTGTTCATTGACCATGTAGCACTTAATTATATTTGTCAGTTCTAAAACGTGTGCATTGACATTGAAATATCACGCTTTGCAATGCTGTAGCGATTTTTTTCTTTTTAAATAATCCATAAAACAAAAAGCGCCATACGATTTAAAAAATATATACATTAGCTATATTTTACTAGATACACATCAAAGAGAATAACAACAACAAACCAATAAAGACAAACAACAAGAAGAACTCAAATATTTTACTGTACCCTGGGATTTGCGTTTATCATCAAGTGCACAAGGAAACAACAGCAATTCCAGTAAGTTTGAAAATGGACTTACCAGAGTTGGGGTCAGAGTTGCCATCTGCTTCGGTCCTCTTGTCCGGAGAGGCCTGGTCGTAGAATTCGTCCTGTGGCTGAACCAGAGGAAGAGGGTGTGAGATCAGGGTTCCACTACCCACTGGCTCATGGTCGCCTAGACCACTGTCACTGCAGCTTTCTTGGGAGCCATCGGGGAGGTGAAAGGTAACACGGCGCTGCGACTACAAAGAAGACCACAGGACACGTGATTAACACTCCTCCTGGAGGAACAGGTGAGGCGGAGCACAACATCAACACTCTTAACAAATGACAATGAGGCAACAGCACAGTACTTCAAACCAGGCCCCAACTAAGACTATTTATTATGCCCATTTACTATGTAATAATCTACTAACAAAGTGCCCAAAAGTAATTGTAATATCGTATAATTCAAGAAAATAACATGCATTCAAAGCCTTTCAGAAAGTGCAACACGGAAGGCAAAATAGCATTTAAACTTGCCAAAAAATGAGAAAACTTCTAAAAAACAAGAAATTTGCAAATAAGTATCTTTCATATATCTGAATATATATATGTGTATGTATAACATCCCATTTCTTATGAGTAACAGCCACTGCGTTTACTTTGTGTTTTTACTATTATTGATACAAAGAAATACATTATCAACATTGTTGTCTACTAGTTTAAAAGTCATCTTTATGTTTTGATGTTTAGAACAGTACTGAAAAATGAACTAAATTATTATATTAAGCATTTATTCACAGATAAGATTGATATTTGCAAATAAATAGTCAGAAAAAAACAGTAAACATGTTTTTATTTATAGAAAATCGATAATATTTTTCAAGATTTAGAATATAAAGTCTCGCAGCCAAACAATATTTGGAAAATATTTTGCCATCAGTATTTTTTACTCCTAGAAGTGAGTGCATCCATAGTATATTCATGTTTTTCACTTAATTTTAATGTTTAGGAAAATAAAAATGAATTCAGGACAGAATTTTGCTGAGTTCTTTGATAAATGTTCTTTCAATTCCTGTAATACAGGAAGTGAGAGAATATTTGCAGCTTTCTGGGTGGAAATTTAGGACTTTGGGATCAATATGAAAATAGTAAGTTCATGCCAAATGATTAATATATTTGAAACTGCTCCAATATCCAAAAGACCTTTCAATATCATATTACATGATTATTTTTGCCCAAAAGGAAAAACTACAAATATTTAAATCCAAGGTGCAAGTACTTAACATAAAATCTAATCACCTTCTAATATGTGAGCTTTTTTTTTAGGAGACAGCATAAATTGCATACATTTCAAAGTAGAGAGAATGAGGTAGAAGCAAAAGACTCAAGATAGCTATCCTGCAGCACAGCGAATGCCTTTTTACAGACTGACAATAGAACAGAACCTATTTTCTCTGAGTCACTGGTTCAAATCTAGCTCAGAGTCATAATGGTGACGAGCTGATGCCACTTTATTGCTGTTCAATGACCTGTGTGAAATGAGTTGATAGTTCGGTACATTTTTAATGAACTGATGCCAACATCACATAAACTATAATCGTAAATGGTACTAATTGTGCCGATGGTAGCACATTTCACCTTCATGCGCTACCATCTCATAATCTTTGTTCCCTTTCAAAGGTTTTAAAATGTGCCTAGGTGAGTGTTGTAGGAAAGACAGGCCAAAGTTAAATATTACTGTCTGAGGTGTATTTATCTTCTTTTACTTAGAAAGTAGTGCTTTCTCTGTAACACAGATTAACCCTGCATGGAAAAGCTAGTAGCATAATACCTTTCAGTTTGGACTCAATACACGCTTAACCTCTCAGAAATCTTTTATGATAGAAGTTGTAAGGACAATGGATAGTCTGTCCATTACATATGCTTATTTATTATGGATTTGAAAGTGACTCTATTAAAATATCCATATATTTTAAGTATCGCTAGGGCTATCTCTGGAGTTAATTTCTCTTAACCATAAGATAAGTAAAAAAGAACACATAAGAAATAGGCAATAGAATAGATGACAGCAGTCTTCATACAGTATTCTGGCAGTCTCATAAGCCATTAAGGGTTTTTGTTTCACAAACAGAAGGTAACAACAACAACAAAACAAATGCATTTGCAATACTTTTGTAACATCATCAAGGTTGTCTTAGCTATCATACTTTTTCTTCTAAGAAATGTCAGATAAGAAATACCAGTTGTACAATGTCATGATACACATTAATAGGATGGTGGAGCTGTGAGTATTGCTGAAGGATTATATTATTGTAATAACATGGTGGGAAACAATGGGGGAGGGGGAATGGAGAAGAAGGGAGGGGAAAATCACCATTGCTATGAAATTATATCATGAAATAAAAAAATTAAAAAAAAAGAAATATCAGTTATGCCAAATCTGGCAGTTCTCACAAAAATACTACCATGGGCAGATCCCCATTTATGCAAAGGGAGTATATCAGGACATGGCTGAAGTTCAATAAGGGCAGGCGCATTAACAAAAGGAATTAAAAAGCCCACAGATTCAAAAGGCCAAGGGGAGAGGCAAGGGACAAACAGGAAACAACATACAAGAAGATACTGACACTTCCCTCAAAAGCAAACCAAAGACCATATCAATCTTAGAGTTTCAAGATGAAGATATTGAGGTGATCCCAGACAGGGAATTTAAAAAAAATCTTAAAACTCTTCAGAGATCATGAGAAGCAGTAACAAGAACTCAATTAATTTAAAGAATATATCATCACAGAAATAGAATCTACAAAACAGGACCAAAGTGAAATACTTGAACCAAAGAACACAATAGAAATACTTAAAAGCAGAATGGTTGCAGAGGAAATAATACCAGTATTGGAAAACAACCAATTTGCAAACACACAATTGATTAAATATATGGAATTGAACCCAAATAAAAGTAAGAAATCTATCCAAGAAATAAATAACACCATCAAAAAATTGGATATCAGAACTTTAGGAATTCCTGAAGGCATGGAAAGAGAGACAGGATTGCAGGGAGTATTCAATGAAATTGTAAAAGAGGACTCCCCAACCATTGAGAATAAAAAGAGGGAGCCAAATACACGAAGGTCAGCAAACCCAAGTAGGAAAAAAAAAAACCCTTCCAAATCCACAGTTAGTGTTGCTTCATCTCAGCCTAAAATATATGATTTTATTTTTCCTTATTTGCATTATTTTCTTTTTTATCTCTTACAAAATATCAAAGGAAATCATCCCAGAGCCTTAGCATATATGGAGGCAGAAACAACTCTTGACCTCTTTAGAGCATGTATCTAATGCAATGCTAAACAAAATCCATGAAAGTGGCCTGCGTCAGTCCTCCAGAACCAACGCATGGTGCACACTTTCCTTCCACTGATTCACAGTAGAGGAAACCTCAGACTGACTTTGAGCAGGCTGTGGGGAGGAAGGACGCAAATCCACAAACAGGTGTCTTGTAATGGCCACATTTTCTGTTGCTCTGAAAAATTGCCTAGTCAACTTCAGAGAAAGTAATGTTAACACAAAATGTTTGGGGAAATTATTAGTGACTATAAGTAAAAGTGTACCCATTATAAAGAATAAGGAATAGTTCTGATAAACCAATTTATAAAGGGCTTTTCTAGTGAAGATAAATTAAATACGGTGAGCACCTACTTCTTTTAGAATGAATGACTTCATTATTCATGACTAGGAAGCTTACTAATGTCATATGCTGTGAATGGGAAATAATTGTGTTAAAATGGTTCTACCAACGTAGAATTTCTGTCTCATTTTTTAAAAGATTTATTTTATTTTTATTGGAAAGGCGGTCATACAGAGAGGAGGAGAGACAGTGAGGAAGATCTTCCGTCCGATGATTCACTCCCCAAGTGACCAAAACGGCTGGAGCTCAGTCAATCCGAAGTCAGGAGCCAGGAGCTATTCCAGGTCTCCCACACAGGTGCAGGGCCCCAAGGCTTTGGGTCATTCTCCACTGCTTTCCCAGGCCACAGGCAGGGAGCTGAATGGGAAGCTTGGCCACTAGGCTTAGAACCACCAACACCCATATGAGATCCCGGGCATGCAAGGTGAGGTCTTTAACCACTAATGCTATTGTGCCGGGCCCTTCTGTCTCATTTTTTTTAAAGGTGGAAATCATTCAAGCATTTAATATTTGCTTTAATCTTTTATGTGGTTTTCTCAAATGAAGAAATAAGGTAGTGACTTGTCTGCAAGGGTTGCAACAGGAAACCAAACGAAAACTCACATCTCATTTCTGATACAAAGCCACTGGCATTGCTTATCCATCCTTTCTTATAACAAATAATTACAGAGGACCATCTGCATGGTAGCCATCATTCTAGCTACAAAAAAAAAAAAGTGATGGTGAAAAGATAGACAACTAACAAATTCCTAAATGAGATCAGATTCTAAAAATTTAGAGTTCATTAAATTGTTCATGATCAGATTTGAGGATGCGCAGCCAGCAGCTGTGTCACCTTTTTAGAAAGTGATTCGCTTTTAATTCTTGCAAGCTATGCAGACTTAGGCAAGGTCACTGCTTGAATCTGGGACCTTCACTGTATTAATCAGAAATAACCTAGGGAGGAAAAAAAAAAACAAAGGAGGAGGAGTGTATTCTGAATTTATGTCAAAACATTCTAGGGGGATGCTGGCAGCCATCAATTGAAATTCACTACCAATTTGTAAAGTAAAAATAAATAAATAAGAGGGATAAGAGAATGGTGAAACAGGTTATCATTGACTCCACAGAAACTGTTATCTGTTGCATGTCCTTGAGCACTTTTTCACCTAAAACAAAAAAGTGAACAAGCTCAAAAAAAAGTTAGATGATATCTAAAATGGCAAGTTTTTGAGAGCTTATAAACTTGATATTTTATGAGGTGATAATAAGTATTTGGTGAATAAAACTGAATTAACCAGAATTGATTTAGAAATTTAAAGGGAACAGAGTAGGGGAGAAACACCATTGTACTTCCTTTTAAGTTCTTTCTTTTGGCAAATTTTGTTTCTTCTTGTTAACTGTAACATTTTAGAAGATTTTGAACTCTTTTAGAACTAGCAGAATGAAGAAACTAATCATTCCATTGCCTGTGAGGGGTTTCCTTTTCTCCTTCGGTATTTGCATGTCACAATACTTGGAGTGACAACGAAAGAGTGTCTGTTTTTCTGCAACATGTATAATAACTTAACTCTTCACAAATGATTAATGTAA